TGTCCAGTTTCTGTGCCTCATGCCTTCTCTTTTCTTGCTCCTTGATCACCAGACTCCCACACTGCCCCCTTGCCCTTGAGCGCTTTCTGGCATGTGTCTTGGTGTCCAAGTTTGCAAAGCATGTACCTTGCTTTGGATATGTTTTCTGTTGAACCACAGTTAGACACCTCCATTGTGGTCATACCCCACTGAGGAGAGGGAAACCTCACAAAATCAGGCTTATCATGAAGAACTGGGTGGCCATCTGAAAATTCCCACTGTGAAGAGCTTTCCAAATGGATATAGGAAAAAAGAACAAGGCTTCAGCTGGGGCTGTATTATAGCCCTCAGACCCCCTGTACAGAGCAGATCCTTTCCTACATGGCAGAACGGTCCTTGTCCAAGAAAACTATCAGTAATCAAGAGCGTTTTCCTGCATGTCTACTAATAATCCCCACTTCTGGACCATTTGCACTCCAGGGAGTGCCACCAGTGAGAATATGCTCCCATCAGTGGCCAAGCAAGCCCTTGTGGCTTCTTTTACATGACCCCTCTGACCGGAGAGGCTACTAGTGACATTCTAGTTTTAGATCACTACTGTTTCCTGACCTGAGGGAAAAACAGTTTAAAGAAATTCCTCAGATTTTTTTACTTCTCTTCAGTGCTTTGAAACTGAGAGACCTCTATTTTTCATAATTTAAACTCCTGCCTAACTGGGTGAGTGTTCAAATTCCTAGACTATGACAAAATGCTAGCGTGTGTCTGCCTGAAATGTCGAGAGGATCTTTAATAACCTCCGTCCACCAGGAACGGCGTTAAAAGCATTGCTCAGATGATGAGTGAAAACACTCCCAACAAGGACCCCGGCCCTTCAGAGGGAGGTGCCCCGCTCCGTTTTGCCGAGGGGGCCCGCAGGAAGCGTGCAGGGTGTGCCCGATGTGCCCGGGTGCCTTTCCCTCCTGCCTCCGCGCTGGTGCAGGCAGGAAGCTTTCAGGTGCCTGCCTTTTATTTATTTTGGCTAGAAGATGTTGTTCTTCTGCAGTAGCCTGCAGACCAAGATTTAATGCACAGATGACCCCGCCAAGCAGCCCGTGTGCCCAGCGACTGCTACGAACGAGAGATTGCACAGCAGAGCTGTGCCGAGAGTCCACCTGTTTCTCGGGTGTGATTTGTTTCGTGTGATGCACAGTGGCTGAGGGGTGAGACCTCTCCTTTCTCTGAAGAGGTCCTCAGAGGACCCTCAGAGGGAGATGTTTCTGCTGCAGCGCTAAGATAAGAGCCCGGTGCTGCCCTTTGGCTCTTCTGTGAAGTCCAGCGCAGATCTGGTGATGAGATTGCAGGAGGTCTGCCGTAGGTGTCAGGTTTTCTTTCTTGCCATTGAGGGGTTTGACCAAGAAAAGAGCAGCCCTTTGAAAAGCCCAGTGATTTTGCTTTTTCACTTCCAGAGCACACAGTGGTGACACCGTTCTTTTTCCTTTATTTCATTCCTGTCTTGGAAACCCATGTGCCAAGTTTTGTTCCATCATGACGCCTTTTTGGCACGGTCAGAAACCCCTTGCCTTGTGAAGAGCACGACAACCTTGACTGTAAGGTTATGAGTGGGGATTTATGAACAAATCTTCTTTTAGATACACTTAGCCCAACTTCACTGCTACAAACAGATGATGGTGATAAGGTGGGCAGGTTGTTTAAAGTTTTGCTGAAATGTGAGCACAGTTCTCCTGGCACCAGGAATCTGGCTTGTCTAAAGCAAAAACTCAACTCTGCAAAAATTGTCATTTGTAAGAACCTCATCCAAGTCCTGTGGGAAACAGGAGCCTTTATGTTGGGCATGTAGGCTAACACCCCTTTTTCATTAGTATTATTTCTTAATATCTTTCCACTGTATTTTTTTTTGAAGAGCAGCTGGAAAAAGTCCTATTGGCACATACAAAAAATTTCTCATTTCCAAAAATAATGAGATCTAGTGTCTGTCCAGTACATTCAAATGCGTTGGGAAGCTCTCCTGGCCAAGGATGCGTCTGGTGTGATCCCAAGACTCTAGGCTTGTCCTGGTGCAGATCTCAACCAAAAAATGCAAGAGGCATCCAGAGCTGGAGCTTTGCCTCAACTCTTGGGCACGATGTGACTGAGGAGAAGGGGCGAAAGCATTGGTCCTGTGGCGATGGGGGCTCTGGAACGGTTCCTGACGCCGTTAGCCTTTCCCACCCTGCTGCCCTCAAGTGTATGCCAAAGGGATGCCGGCAACTCCAGCTGCTGCTCCTGCCCCACACCTGGGTGCTCCTGCTCAGGGTCCCAGCCTGGCAGCCCGTGGTGACCAGCCGAGGGGCTGTGCCACGTTCTCAAGTCAAAGCAGGGCGTTTTATCAAGCCAAAGCTGCCCACCGTGCCCGGCGCAGGTGCCTCGTGTGGTTTAACCACCGCCGTCTGGGCGCTCGCTGCACGTGCCGCGAAGCCTGTCCGTGCCGTGAAAGCCACGGCCCATCTGTGCCGCTTGTTTTCTGGTCTGCAAGGAGGCAAACGGCCCTGGGAGCCGCCACCTCGCTCGCTCTCTGCTGCACCTCCTGAGCTGGAGTGGGGCTGGTTAATAAACATGATTCACTGTTGTCTTTTAGCTGTCAGGGCTGGAGTGAAGCTCTTGGTGCCGGCAGGTCTAGCTCTTCTCACTCGAGGGCTAATGCATTTTGCTTTGGGAAGCAGTGACACCCAGCACCATGCGCTAGCTTTACCTCACCAATAGACCATATACAATTTCCAAACTACTCAGCAATAAAACTCTTCTGTCTCGTGATTCGGTGCCAGCTGTTTCATTAAGAATAAGCAGTGGCTGGGGTTTATTCGTACAAGTAACAGGATTTTTATTTTTTTTCCCCCCGCCCTCTTTCAGCTCGCAAAAGATAAAGAGCGCCTGCAAGCCATGATGACACACCTGCACGTGAAGTCAACTGAACCAAAAGCCACCCCTCAGCCCGTAAGTACCGAACTGTGCCGACAGCAGATGAAACCTCACACCAAACCTCTCTTTCCCATTCCCCCTCCGAGCACGTGGTGCGAAGCGTGGCCCGCGTCGGAGCCGGTCACGGCGCAGCTTCGCAGGAGGCACCACCACGGGTACCCGGGTTTCATCATCTCCCTCTCTTCAGGGAGTTTGAAAGAAGTTTTGCTCCAGAGCTGATGCATTGGGCCTTCTTCTGGCCTCACGTACTAACCTGGAAGTCTCTTTGCATCAGTCTGACGTGCATGAAATCTTAGGAAGTGTTAGGAAGAAGATGTAATTAAATTATATTTGGGGTGTTTATTTTGCTTTCTCCTTGTCTGACAGACATTTACAGTAGAAGAGACTCTAGCTGCACATTTTGATGATAATCGTGGTTAGCCAGTATCAGGTTTTACACTGTTGAAACTGAGAAGGGAAACCTTCTGCGCCCCAGATTGCCCCTTAAAAAAGGGATTGCAGGGGAAGCAAGTGCCTTCACAGCCCAAGAAAACTCCCAGGTACCCCCAAACCCAGGGAAATCCACTGACTCCTTCCCCGACCAAAATGACTGTTGTTTTCTTCCAACCTCGTAATGCTGAAAATGTTCCTCAGAGCTTCCAATGATTATTCAAAATGGAGAGAGTGCTTTGCTTCTTGATTTTAAGATTTGTAAGATTTAAAGGTACACTGGCTTTATTTGATTTTGCTTTGAGTCATTGTGTGAAAATTAATTGAGCGTTGACAATCTATAGTTAGTACTAGCAATTTTAATCAATATGCAATGATGCAGCATAATGACAAAGTATTGGTTTATCTGTTTTGACTGATTTTTTTTCTATAAATAAAGCAAACACACACCCATATATGTGTGATTTATGGTGATAGAAATAAAAAGGAGTCAGACTATTAACCCAGCAAATATGGTAGCCTGCCAAGATGCAGTTGGTAGACAAAATTAATGTCTGAAACAGAACACATTACAGAGATAGAGAACATAAAATCATTAAACACTTCGCGCACCCATTTTTACTAGAAAAGGATTTCTCAGTTTCCATGTAGTTGGAAATAAATGGCTGCAGAAGTGCATAGGGAGGCTACTAGACAGAAAATTGCAGGCTATTCAGCAACACTGGAGCAGATGTCAAAGTCCATGGGAGATTTTGGTGCCTTCTTGGAGGGAGTTGAGTGGTAGGTATGAACCCTTCCATTTAAGCTGTTGAGATGCCTAAAATTGCTTGATCCGGTGGATACCAGCCCTCTAGAGTAGACACTACTTGCAGTGTCTATAAAAATAGCATTCTTCTAGTTGCTCACATCCATCTCAGCCTGAATGCAAATGCTTCAGCGCATTGTTGGCAAAGTATGTAGACCCAACAGAATGGGGAGCAGGTTTGGTTTCTATAGCTCTTACTGGATTAAAAATTAAAACAGCGGAATAATCTGGGAGTCTCAAAGCACTCTGCCTTGAGGCCTTTCATAACAGCGGTGCCCCTCAGGAGGAAGGATTAAAAACTAAAGGGAGGAAATCATAAGAAGGCGAGCAGCGTTTGGCAAGGCAGCTCGCGATCGATGCTCCGCCGCGGAGGGCAGGAAGCTTTCGCGGGTGTTGTAGGCTACGGAGATACCAGGCGGTGTCACCATGAAGATTAGTGTTAACAGCTAATAAACAGGGAAAAGCAGTGGGGGAAGAAAAAAAAAAAAGAGAGAGAACACAGGGGGAAAAGGGCTGTCTTGATTAGTATTAAAAATGTTTTACATTCTGGAAAATTATAGCTTTGTTGGGGACCTCCTACTAAATTTATTTTTAACTGCTCTATTGAAAATTCTGTACCACTAGTCAACATTATCTCTCAGTTGCTCAGCACAGTGTTTCTTTATTAAAAGAAATAGGCATGAATATTTTTGACTGAAAAATTAATAGCTTTTGAATTCATACACAGCAGGTTTTCTTTTGCAAAGAAGTCCAATATCGCTGCACAGCACTTCTATAACCATTTATTTAGAGTCCAAGTCAAACCTTTGACAGCTAGAGCAGTGTTACAAGCCAACATAAAGAACTCCAAGATGTAAACCAACAATAGGCAGTCTGTGTGAGGTTTGCCATTGTCAAATACATAGATTGTTTGGATTAGTTTATGTAAATGTACTGTTGTATTACCCTTTGGAAAAAAAAAGATCACATTTGTGTATGAAAAGTGGTTTCGTTCACAGGCAGCATTATAAATTCCTTATCCTTTAACTTACATGTTAGAAGTAAAAATTGGTGCCTGACAGGCCTATATTGTGTGGCGCACTGTTGTTGGATTGAAACGGCCTTCTTTTCATTTATTGAAATATAGAAAAATTTATTATAGATACCATCTGATAAATCAGAAATTATTAAAATATGTATAGGTGAAGCATTTGAAAATTAATTATAAAATGTAGAAGTACAGTGTTTTGCATAAATTGTGCGTTCCTAGTGGAAAAAATACACAGGCATCGCATAGGCTGCGCTAGACCCTGGTCCTTTTAACTCAGTGGGATAGGACTTTGGTAAAAAGATCTGATGACCATTATTGCAGTGCAAAGTATTCTTTACATCCAGTAATTAATTTTTTTTTTTTTTTTGCCAGCATAGCTAATGCAAGGTGTACATTAGAATTAATATATTACAGTACATTGGTGATTTTAAAGGAAAGAGCGGCGGCGAATCCAAATGTAGCGGTGAAGCGGGATTTAAAATTACAACCCTTTCATGGCTGAGGTGGTGGTTTTATTCTGCTTAAAGGATCTTAATGCTTGTTTTTAAACTACTTTGTTTCTGGCAGTTTAGACTGGTGACTGAGTGTCTGTGTTAACCACGTGATGTTGGTCATCCACACTGACCATTGGTACCGTCTTTTTTTTTTCTTTTGGACTTCAGGCATTAGCTGAACGGGTGGGTTTGGACCAGCTGGACCAGAGCCAGGTTCTTGGTGGTTGTGCACCAACTCAAAACTCACCCAGCTTCAGGGAAGGGTTTCTTGTCCAATCTAGCCTTGTCCATCCATCACATCACATCCATCACCTTAGGGTGGCTTTAGCTCCTTGCAATAGTCTTGACCTTGGGAAGGGCGGTGAAGTGGCCCCTGCATTTCGCTCCACCACTCCACCAAGGCATCTGCTCCATAAAGCTCTTCTGTCCTAAGAAAGCTGATGAGACTTAAGCACGTTCTTACGTGGCGTGGTGGTGGATGGCCTGAATCGTTGGCAGATAGGTATGTATGCAGGAAGGTCGCTGTTGATGACTTCCCCTGCGCCTGGAGAAGTGACCGGGCAGGCAGGGGGTTGGCTGGGGAGGGGGAGCACAGCGGGAGCTGGGGCAGTGCTTAGTGCCACCTTTAAAAATGACCCACTTCCTAATTAAAATGCCCAACGGTGTGTGGGAGTATCTCACAGCTTAACACTTGGAGCAGGCAAAGTTGTTCCTGTTGCTGCTACATGTGTTGTTCTGATGAGACGAAAGGGCCCGAATAAAGCGAGAACAAAGCTATCAATGAAGGAATATGATGTAACATATTTTTGTAAGGTGAGTTTTTTTCAAGATAAAAAAAAAAAACACGCACCACCAAAGTCAGAACAACAGTTTCTCCAGAGTTGTCATTCTGGTTTTGCTATTAAGATACCTTCCCCTGCGTGCTGCTTTCATTGGTGTTAGTGAGCAGCATAAGAAGTTGAAATGGAAATGCACTTTCTTCGGGGGGATTAACTTGTGTCGAAGTTCATAGGAAGGGAAGGAAAAGGAAAAAGCATCAACCAACAAGTAATTCTGCATGTTAGGTGCTATAACTGTCTTTTTAAAATAGACAGAAAACTTTAAAAGAAACTTTTGGCACTTTAAATAAAATGCAGTGTTAGATATCCCTTCTCTAATGTATTTTTTTTACCCGAACCATAGCAGTTACGATTGTTTTGAAATACTGTTTTTAGCAACTGTAATAACAAAGCATTAAAAAAAAAAATAGTCTTTTAACTGTTGAGGTAATGACTGAGCATTTTAGCTGCTGTAGCCGTACTTTATAGTTTGAAAAAATAACGATACACAGCAATAAAGAGAGATTCTCAAGCACAACAAAAGCTGTTTTTATATACTGGTTTTCATTAAGTCTCACTCCTCAGCTTCGGTTTCCTTCGTATTCCTGCCAATAACAACACCTGCTAAGTGATTGCTGCCTGCCAGGCTCTGCATCTCAAACACTGATGGGTCCAGGCTGAGGCGGGAGAGGAAGACACAGCATTTAACAAAGTTCTAGACCCAGCTCTCTGTCCCACCTCGGTGTCAGGAGAAGAAATCTCTGCTCCAGAGTGTTTAAGTCCCAGGAACTCGGTGCAGGTAAATCCTCAGCTCCATTTGGGACCAGAGTGGCAGCATCCATCGCAGAGGAGTCCCTGCCCTGCGGCAGTGGGTATGGCCCCACCGTGACACTTAGAAATATCTACTTTTTTTTTCTTTTAAAAGAGTTTCACGGGCTTTTTTTATGTGCAGCCACTATTGTCATGTAAAATGTTTACACAAAAAGAAATCGGACTGAGCCCTAATGGGAGCACCACTTACTGGAAATCTGTTTTACAGGGTGAAGGAGAGGGTTACCACTCTGCCTTGTTTATATCTAAGGAGAAAAAAAAAAAGAAAATGACTCAGTCTTCACCTTTAATAGGAAGACATGACTATTTCTTGAAAGGGAAGGTTAATAGTAAAATCTTAAGCAGGATATTGAACGCTGAAACAATTATGGCATTTGTGATGAAGTTAAAACAGTATGAGGAACTGTTCTCAAAAACCAAAACTGAAGCGCCCAACAAGGTTCAGTAATTGAATTTGCAGAATTTTAGGATCTAAAACTTGGGGTGTTTCATGGTTTCTCTGTTGTTTTCCTTTTTCCTTCTTGCTTTTGGGGGTTTTTTGTTGGTGTTTTTTTTTAAGGCTGGAGGAAATCCTCCCTCCCTCCCATCCCCAGTACAAACATTACAAAAACATTTAACTCTTTTGTGCAAGGGCTCTGCTCTCCAACATACTTGGAGAGTGCCATGCATTGTGCCTTACTGCTGTGCAAGAGTTCTCACTCGTTTAACTCTTGGGTTCTTGGGTTCCCTCCCCTCTGACTGCAGTGATACCTCATCCAAAAAATTATGGTATGTAGGAAACAAGCCATGTACAAAATACCAGCGCGGACAACTTTTCTAATCATAGTAACTTGTTTTTAAATAGAAAATGTGAACAGGGAGAAACCGTGTTGAGTTTCCATCAGGAAAAGAAACCCTCCCAGCCCAGTCCCTTCCTGCATAATCTCTGCCCTGCATGATCATCCACGGGCACTTTTGCGTTTCTAATTGATGCCAATATTAAGATTTAATAGTTTACCATTCGGATTAATATTTCAAGATGGCAACAAAACCAACACCATTCATAATTTGTTATTCTGCTCTAATTCACGACCAATTTTTCAGCCTTCGCGCTACAGATGCAACAAAGAAAGCAGCAGTGAAGGTCTGCGGAGGGAGCGCAGCCCTTTCCTCCCTTACCCTAGCTCGTGTTTTGGTAACGGCATCGGCAGGGACCCGACCCTGGCTGGAAGAAGAGAGTGTGTCATCAAATAAAACACGGAAAAAGGAAAAACTTCGCTAGCCATCGACAAGGTCGTGTTTCATTAACTTGTTGGTTCAGGCTCGCGAATGGTCGTCGGAGGTGAAACGCGGCAGACTCGCTGCGTTCCAGCTTTTTGTTCTCTCTTTCCTCACAGACTGCAGTCATGTTTAATTTGGAAACTGGGCTCCTTTGGCAAATTAGCAATTAGAACAATTTTGTGGGAATATGTATATGTGTCATTAGTTTTCCTGCAAATTAATAGCGAGAGCAGAGGTCAGGCAGAAATTTTCCACTTGACTGCAGCTCCTCTGTTGAGATTTGGCACTTTGTTTTGGAACGGCCACAGCTGCTCAAAGCCACAGTCTTCCTTTAGGAACTGTCTTTTAATTAGTTTACCTCATAGCCATTATTACAAATATTACTGCCTCCCCTCCTTGAAATAAAATTACTGTTTCTACAAAATATTCCGGTGACATCTTGCACCACTGCACATTGATGGTGGGGTCACTCGGATGCAGCGTTTAATCATTAGATCACCTCCATAAGCATCTCCTAATTAGAGTCCTTACAATACAATTTTATCTGGTAATTAGCTGAGATTGGCTGCTTCCTCTGTAGCTTATTAGTGGCAGCCCAGCAGTGGGTGTGAATCACAGTGTCATTTGTCAAGCCTGTTAAAGCCCCCCCCTTTGCTCATCCTCTTCTCTGTTTATTCCTCGTTGCTACCTACGCTGAAAAACCTAAAGAAATTTAACTGGATTCAAATTCTTGAAGCAGGGAACGCTGACCTTTGTGGATCCTTTCTTGCGGTTCCCTAGTAGAAACAGATTAAATGTTAAGTTTTTACACACTAAAAAAGGAAGGGGACTCTTTTGAAATGGAGTAGCTGGAGCCGTAATGATGAAGCACGAGCAGTGATCTTTCCAACAGGAGGGCCCGGCTGCCGAGCTTGCGCTCGAGACGGGTGCTTAAAATTGATGCAGATTTGCTCGCAGTTATTGGGCTGTTAAAATGTCCATTTAGAAACTGAGATAAAATACAGTAGATTTAAGTTCATGGTGAGACCTGTCAATTGTACTATGATTATCATCACTGGTCCTTTTATCATATGTAATAGATGGATAGATGGATAACAGGGAGACATTACTATATACGTGTCCCTGATCAGCATCCCTAAATCATGCCGGTCAACAAACGGACCGGACCACTGGCATGTGATGGCAGTGCCCGGCGCTGCAGGGGTTTGAACAGGCGTGCTTGCCTCTGGGTCGCGTTGAGCAGTTCACGCTGGCGCGGGAGTCTCTGGGAAATCAATTCCCATATTTCACCGCCTTTCGCCATCCCTCGCTGGGTTCGCGCTCTCCAGCCTCGCTGCGGAGCGTTAAATAGTCCCTGCTGGAAGGCAACGTGTTGTTTGTGAGCACCTGTACAGAAGGATGGGTGTTTGCAGGTCTGTTTGTGGGCACCTGCATGGAGGATGGGTGTTTGCAGCTCTGTTTGTGGGCACCTGCATGGAGGATGGGTGTTTGCAGGTCTGTTTGTGAGCACCTGCATGGAGGATGGGTGTTTGCAGCTCTGTTTGTGGGCACCTGCATGGAGGATGGGTGTTTGCAGGTCTGTTTGTGGGCACCTGCACGGAGGATGGGTGTTTGCAGCTCTGTTTGTGGGCACCTGCACGGAGGATGGGTGTTTGCAGGTCTGTTTGTGAGCACCTGCACAGAGGATGGGGGTTCACAGGTCGGCTGCTCACCACCTCCTCTCCTCGGAGCAGCGTTTGAGCGGCGGATGCGCCGTCG